CGATTATTTATGTATATATGTATAGTCATGTTTGTGAACAGCCCATTTCTAGGAAAGTCGCATACACGCTATGTTTCTGTATGCCGAATTAAAGTTCCAGGATTTCCCAACACGCACCTCAGTTTCCTGTTCATTAAATGGTCAGATGCAGCTCAGTAGCAGATCACATCATTGCTCATTGCTATGGTCTAGAATACAGTCAATGAGTGGTCTGCAGCAGGGGCGGACTGACAACTCATTGGGCCCCCTGGGCAATAGGGGATCATGGGGCCCCTGTGTCCTTGCCCAAACTGAAAAGAGCCTATGAAAAAATAACCAGGGGCATCTGATGGGGCCCCCTACTGACCCCGGGCCCTCGGGCAGAGCCCAAGTTTCCAAATGGTCAGTCCGCCCCTGGTCTGCAGACACCTAACCATCACACCTGTATGAATTTGATAGATATCCCATTCGAAAACCATGGGCATTGGTAAGGAGTTAGCACCCCTATGAGACTAGAAGAGCTTCCACTATCCTGAGAAGGCTTTCCATGAAATTTTGGAGTGAATTTGTACCCATTCAGCTAAAAGAACCTTTTGTAAGGCTGGGTAGTGATGTTGGATGAGAAAACCTGGCACACAAATCTGCTTTTAAATAAACTCCCAAAAGGTAATCAGTAGGGCTGAGATCAGGGCTTCTGTGCAGGCCACTTGAATTCCTCCATACAAAAGTATGGGGGCTATTTACTAAACCTGGAGGGTGCAAAATCTGGTAGAACTCTGCATAGTAACCAATCAGCTTCCAGGTTTTATTGCCAAAGCTTAACTGAAAAACTTTAGAAGCGGGTTGGCTACCATGTACAGTTGCACCAGCTTTAGTAAATCTACCCCTACGTCTTTATGGAGGTTTTTTTTCGGGTACAGGAACACAGTCATGCTGAAACCAAAAAGGGCCTTCCCCAAACTATTATCACAACATTGGAAGCACACAGTTCTCCAACATGGCTTGGTATGCAAATACTTGGGGCCTGTGGCAAGAGCAGTCTATTATTATTATACAGGATTTATATGGCGCCAACAGTTTGCTCAGCGCTTTACAATACAAAGGAGACAATACAGCGACAATACAATTCAATACAAAAGGGATAGGAGGGCCCTGATCCTGGGAGCTTACAATCTAAGAGTGAGGGCCTAGTGGTACGAAAGGCAGTAACTGTGGTGGATGGACTGGTAGGAAGAGTAGAAGATTCCATTATTAGCTGAAGGCAGGATAGGCTTCCCTGAAGAGATAGGTTTTCAGAGATCACCTAAAAGTGAGCAGAGTAGGCGATAGTCTGATAAATTGGGGTAGAGAGTTCCAGAGGATGGGGGAGGCTCTGGAGAAGTCCTGGAGACGAGCATGAGAGGAGGAGACAAACCATTGGCTATGTTAGAAGCATTTATTTTGGGTTTCATTTTACTATCCAAGAACTTTCTTAGACCATTGTGATCAGCACTTTATGTTAACAAATCAATATTTAAAGCGGAGCTGCACCCAAAAGGGGAAGCACTGCTGGTTTGCACCCTCCACATTTCGCACATTTGGGGAGGGAGGGAGGAGCGGGTAACCTGGTTTTGCCAGGTACCCGCTCCCAGCTCAGCTCACTGCGGTGAACTGAGCCAGAAGTTCGGAACCCCCCTGCAGTTTTCTAGGATACTTAGTAGGTCTCAGAAGAGTACAGGGCCAATCAAAAGGTGCAGCACGACTCGCGCATGCACAGTAGGAAACTGGTTGTGAAGCTGCAAGACTTCACTTCCAGTTTCCCTTACTTGGAGGGCCGGAGCCGGGAACCCTGAGGCTAATGAAGAACTAGCATGGGTGATGACAACGCTGCCCCCCTGGACAGGTAAGTGTTCTTCTTTAACTACTTACCTACTGGGTCAATTCCGACACTTCTCACATACATGTAAAAAACTGCATTTTTTGCTAAAAATTACTTAGAACCCCCAAACATTATATATTTTTAGGCAGGTGTCCTTGAGAAGATGCCACACCGAGTAAATAGATATCTAACATGTCACGCTGTAAAATTGCATACGCCCGTGGAACACAGTCAAACTATGGTACCGAAAAATCTCCATAGGCAGCAACTTAAAAGCCTTTACAGCACAGGTGTCAAACTGGCGGCCCTCTAGCTGTTGCCAAACTACAAAACTACAAGTCCCATGAGGCACTGCAAGACAGAGTTACAAGCATGACTCCCAAAGGCAGAGGCATGTAGTTTCACAACAGCTGGAGGTCCAGTTTGACACCCCTGCTTACCAGTTTAGAGTTCAATAGGAGGTCTGGTTCTAGAACCATTGCTCTTGCTCAATGTTTGCAATGATACCTCATGTGTGGTGTTATCGCCGTTTATATATGCATGCAAGACTTGCTTATGCATTCGCATTTGAGCATAAGCATGGGGGGGGGGGGGGGGGCAGGGATGCTTTTTTTTTTTTTTTTTTCACTATCCCTTTACATTTTGTGTTTGCTAAAACTTTATTGCTATCATAACGGATGAACAACATCCCTTTTGATAGCATAGGCCATGACAGGTCCTTTTTATGGAGAGATCTGGGGATTATTAAACCCCAGATCTCTCTTCCGGACTCTAATGCAGCCAATCAGACTCAGACCAGCTGCCTCACTGACAGGTAACAGGCCAGTAAACAAAGAACCAAAACTGTAATGGACTAAATCCTCTTCTGGCTTCTGCTTCTGGTTTCTGATCCCACATACTGGAAGGAACACCAGTTTTTCTCTTGGATGCCATCGATCGGAGGAGTCCTGGGCTCCCTGATGGTATGGGAGAGTCGGGGAAAGGTGGCAGTGGAAGGGAGGAATCCCCTTCCGCCGCCTGTAGAAGTGATCGAGCGCCGGCTGCAAATTTTTATACCAGGGTGGCGGACTGACAACTCATGGGGCCCCCGGGCAATAGGGGATCATGGGGCCCCTGTGTCCTTGCCCTAACTCAAAAAAGCCTATGAAAAAGGTACCAGGGGCATCTCATGAGGCCCCCTACTGACCCCGGGCTCTCGGGCAGTGCCCGAGTTTTCAAATGGTCAGTCCGCCCCTGCCAGGGTGATGCCTGATAGCTGTAGACATCATCCCGGTACAACCTCTTAGATTGTAAGCTCCAAGGATCAGGGCCCTCCTAACCCTCTTGTATTGAACTGTATTGTTGCTTTATTGTCTCCCGTTATATTGTAAAGCGCTGAGCAAACTGTTGGTGCTATATAAATCCTGTATAATAATAATAATGTATATAAATCCTGTATAATAATAATAATAACAACCACTTAAACCTGGTGATGCCATAAGACGTCCACCCATGGGGAAGTGGTTAAATATAGACCGGTAACCAAAAAACAAAACAAAAAAAACAAGACCCATGTTGCCAATCATTCCCAATGTTATCACTGTGCAAAAGAGTATAACAAATTCGAAATCATGGAACAGGTTCACGATAGCTAAAGTGTTCACAATCACTTTGTTAAACTATTTGATGGTATCACAATGCAATGGTGCGGTCTCAGCCTGGCATCAGAAAACCTTTTACATACAGAATGTATTCAACCATTAGTAAAAAGTCAACATTTTTTCACGTTCAAAAGTCAAAAGTTATGCTGGGATCTGTAGATCCACAAATTACCCAGAACAAAGAAGAAAAACAATTACATGATGCAGAAACTAGACTGCCGTACCAGAGTATAAGAACATTTAATGCTGTAGATATAAAAACAAGCAACACGTATCCCCGCCGCATTTACTAGTCTTACTAACTTGTCCGAACTCGCTTGGCACTCCAATCAACAGTATCTGTTACAAAATGTTTATGTTTAACACTTCAACCACAAATAACTTACAAAGCACGAACTTATAAACACCTAATCTACAGTACAGTAAAATCGACAAATGTAACTCCTTCAAGAAGAACACAAATAACACGACCAATACATTGTTACCACGCTTTATATTAACAAAAACAGAAAGCTATAAAATGTCCTTAAAGTGTAATTCTGCTTACCTTTCTACTTGCTTTAAAATCTTACCTAGGTTTCTCCGGGGAGTTATGGTCACCATAATTGACCCAGTCTATGCTGTGCTGGCAGATCTTATTCTTCCCACTGACCACCAATGTAAGGAGCATTCCTCCCACTGACCACCAATGTAAGGAGCATTCCTTCCCACTGACCACCAATGTAAGGAGGCATTCCTCCCACTGACCACCAATGTAAAGAGCATTCTTCCCACTGACCACCAATGTAAGGAGCATTCTTCCCACTGACCACCAATGTAATGAGCATTCTTCCCACCGACCACCAATGTAAGGAGCATTCTTCCCACTGACCACCAATGTAAGGAGCATTCCTCCCACTGACCACCAATGTAAGGAGCATTCCTCCCACTGACCACCAATGTAAGGAGCATTCCTCCCACTGACCACGAATGTAAGGGGCATTCTTCGCACTGACCACCAATGTAAGGACCAATCTTCCCACTGACCCCCAATGTAAGGAACGTTCTTCCCACTGACCCCAATGTAAGGGACATTCTTCCCGCTGACCACCAATGTAAGGAACATTCTTCCCACTGACCCCCAATGTAAGGAACATTCTTCTCACTGACCACCAATGTAAGGGACATTCTTCTCACTGACCACCAATGTAAGGAGCATTCTTCCCACTGACCACCAATGTAAGGAGCATTCTTCCCACTGACCACCAATGTATGGGACATTCTTCCCACTGACCACCAATGTAAGGAGCATTCTTCCCACTGACCACCAATGTATGGGACATTCTTCCCACTGACCACCAATGTAAGGGACATTCTTCCCACCGACCACCAATGTAAAGAGCATTCTTCCCACTGACCACCAATGTAAAGAGCATTCTTCCCACTGACCACCAATGTAAGGAGCATTCTTCCCACTGACCACCAATGTAATGAGCATTCTTCCCACCGACCACCAATGTAAGGAGCATTCTTCCCACTGACCACCAATGTAAGGAGCATTCTTCCCACTGACCATCAATGTAAGGGAGATTCTTCCCACTGACCATCAATATAAGGAGCATTCTTTCCACTGACCACCAATGTAAGGAACATTCTTCCCACTGATCACCAATGTAAGGAACATTCCTCCCACTGACCACCAATGTAAGGAACATTCCTCCCACTGACCACCAATGGAAGGAACATTCTTCCCACTGACGCCCAATGTAAGGGACATTCTTCCCACTGACCACCAATAAAGGAGCATTCTTCTTGCTGACCACCAACATAAGGAACATTTTTCCCAATGACATTGGAAACTGCACCTGAACTGTGCTGAAAATACCGGACTCTTTTTGAAATCGCACTGCGGCCGGCCCACACACATGTGACCCAGATCCACAGAAAAGGCTTTTGCTTCACATGTCATACAAATTGGATACGGTTGAAAACATCCAATCCGCACATAAGTGTATTAGATCTTACTATCAGGGGTTTATTCAAGGGTTCCTCATTGGTAAAACGTTCTATAATATATTCAGTGAACATAAGTTCAGTATATACCGTTACAAAGGCATGAAAAAAAACATTTGGATGGAAACTCCTATCATCTTCAGTTAGATCTGCTTGCTTTTGATGTGCCCATCTCTAGAACCCATTAAATAGGATCGTACCAAAAAATGTACAGAACATTGAAATATTCCTTACACCTGAACCACAAAGAGTCTATTGTGTATTCCACCATGAAGATCTACGTACTACGAGGACGACTACAAAAATGTCTTAGATAAATAGAACACTACAATTATTATACATTTAAAATGACACCCGGCCAGCACAGCTGAAGAATGAAAAGAAAATTGGAGAAGCAGCTTCCGTCTTCAGGACGCAGTGATAGACGAATCCTTATTTGGAGATGTTAGAACCTATACAGCCAAGGCAATGGTAACCGTATAGAATGAGGATGTAGATCAGGTGGATCTATGACGTACATTACACCCAGGTCCTGATAGCAACACGGCTTCCTAAACCAGCACATACGAGGGGTGCACCGATGTATCATCCAAAAATAGTGTCATCGGCATTTTGCCAATAAAAAAAAAAAGTGCCGAAAAATGTGCAATTTTACCCAGCGATTTTGCCGCATTTAGGGTGCGTTTTTCATAGGTCAACACGTGTGCATTTTTTATGCAATTTTGCTGCATTATCAATGCATTTCAGGCCTGATTTTGCCAGTTTGCATTTTGTTTTGAAGTGTGTTTTTGCACGCGTGTTTTTAATGTGTTTTGGGGGGTTTTTTTGGCCAACTTGTTGCTGGGCAGATTATAGCGTCAGCAGTTTGCTCAGCGCTTTACAATATAAGGGAGACAGTACAATTACAATACATTTCAGTACAGAAGGAATAGGAGGGCTCGGCTCGTGGAGCTTACAATCTAAAGGAAGGGGGAGGTGATATAAAAGGTGATAGCTGCGGGGGATGAGCTGGTGGAGGTGATTCAAGTACAGTTCTTAGGCGGAGGTGGGGTAGGCTTACCTGAAGAAGTGAGTTTTCAAAGATCACCTAAAGGCAGACAGGGTGGGGGCTGACTGGACATGCTGTGGTAGGGAGTTCCAGAGGATGGGAGAGGCTCTGGAGAAGTCCTGGAGGCGAGTGTGGGAGGAGGTGACGAGGGAGCTAGAGAGGAGGATATCATCGGAGGAGCGGAGTGGGCGATTTGGACGATATCTGCGGAGGAGGTCGGTGATGTAGCTAGGGGCAGTGTTGTGGATGGATTTGTAAGCTGTGGTTAGTATTTAGAATTTTATACGTTGGGTTAGTGGAAGCCAGTGGAGGGATTGGCAGAGAGGGGCAGCAGTCGCTGATGGGTTGGTAAGGTGTATGAGTCTAGCAGCAGTCGCCGATCGGTTGGTAAGGTGTATGAGTCTAGCAGCAGTCTCTGATCGGTTGGTAAGGTGTATGAGTCTAGCAGCAGTCGCTGATCGGTTGGTAAGGTGTATGAGTCTAGCAGCAGTCGCTGATCGGTCGGTAAGGTGTATGAGTCTAGCAGCAGTCGCTGATCGGTCGGTAAGGTGTATGAGTCTAGCAGCAGTCGCTGATCGGTCGGTAAGGTGTATGAGTCTAGCAGCAGTCGCTGATCGGTCGGTAAGGTGTATGAGTCTAGCAGCAGTCGCTGATCGGTTGGTAAGGTGTATGAGTCTAGCAGCAGTCGCTGATCGGTTGGTAAGGTGTATGAGTCTAGCAGCAGTCGCTGATCGGTCGGTAAGGTGTATGAGTCTAGCAGCAGTCGCTGATCGGTCGGTAAGGTGTATGAGTCTAGCAGCATCGCTGATCGGTTGGTAAGGTGTATGAGTCTAGCAGCAGTCGCTGATCGGTTGGTAAGGTGTATGAGTCTAGCAGCAGTCGCTGATCGGTTGGTAAGGTGTATGAGTCTAGCAGCAGTCGCTGATCGGTTGGTAAGGTGTATGAGTCTAGCAGCAGCATTCATAATAGACTGAAGTGGGGATAGCCTGTGTAACGGTAGACCAGTGAGGAGGGAGTTGCAGTAATCGAGGCATAGACATAGTATAATCGCATAGGTACATTAGACAAAACGTGGACCAATGTAAGCACATATGTGCCATACCTGGCCAAACTCTGCAGAAGCTAGAAATCCCTGTATAGGCACCATTACTACAGTGATGACAGCCAGCTTCCGGGTCCCCTGCCCAACGGCTGCCCTGCTTGCTTAGGGAACACAGAAAATTGCTCACTGGGCATGAGCACCATTCAGAGAAAACTTAGCATTTTTTCAATGAATGCAAAGCATTCTTTGATTGGACAAGGTGGAGATTGTAATGGTACTGCCCCACCTCTCAACCTCATCCAATCAGAGTATGCTTTGCATTCATTGAGAAAATGCTCTGAGTGGTGCCCATGCCAAGCAAGCAGCCTCCTGTGTTCACAATGCAGCAGGCCAGACACTACGCACGGAACCCAGAAGCCAGTGGGGGTGCCTATACTGTGTTTTCCAGCTTCCACAGGGATCGGCCTGGTATGATACATGCATACATATATTGGTCCAAGTCTGACCAATGTAACTATGCAGAGATATGCATACCTAAATTGCAGCTTCAACATGCAGGGAGTACGTCCTTTAAAAAATAAAACTACTCACAGATTTCCATAAAGGCCGAGCAATCCATCCTTACACTGACAAGAAAAGCAATGAAGTAACTGGAGTCGGGGTGTCAGCACTACGCTCCCCTCTTCCTGCGCACCTGCTATAGATTACAATCGAGATTAGAAGGCTGGCAGCTTGCCAGCTTGGAAAGTCATTGTTGGGAAGGGGAGCAGCAGGGTTTTGCTGTAAATTTTGAGGATGAGTTATTCCACAATGAAGGGTTGGTCTTGGAGCTTTATTTAGCCCCCATTCACACTTGAGCTTTCCCTCAGCATGTTTCCCTATCGCTAATGGAGATGGTGTATGTGATGCTGAAAGTGCGCCGAGATAGGCAGGAGGAGAACCAGGAAAGAACACTCACAGGAGGCCAAAGGAGTGGAATTTACTGAAGAGGAGCGGGTGGTCAACTGTGTCAAGAGTGGCGGTGCGGTCTAAGGGCTCATGTACACTGCAGCTGATAAACGGACGTTCAGGAGCTGTTGAGCGTTTTTTTTTCAGCAGCCCCTGAACTCCCCCTAATGTTCTCCTATGTGTCCATGTACACATCGTCCTTTACAGGCAGTTGAGTTTACAGTCCTTTTCTTGAATGCTCCAAAATTGCGTTCAGGAGTAGATTTTATAGGCGTTTCAAATGCCAAACGCTTGTAAACCGGTTAACCGCATTTGCGTTTAGATGCGGTTTTTTACAGGTCCATATCCAGATGCTGCCCACAGCCTTTTTTCTTCATCAAAAATGCATGCAAAGCATTTTCCATGTATTCAAGTGGACCCGGTACACCAGCGCAGTCAGTTCCAGGTTTGGCGTGAAGGAAACAATGGTAGAACGCGCCGCATTATGCTCATGATGGGATCCATAGTGAATACAACCAGAAAAGACAGGTCATCTCAACACATACTGCTCTCTCTGCTTCTGCTCTCTCTATTTCTCTGAAAACATCTGAAATAGTTTATTTATTTATTTCAGGTACTTATATAGCGCCGTCAATTTACACAAAGCTTTACATATATATTGTACATTCACATCAGTCCCTAACCCTCAAGGGGTGTACAATCTAAGGTCCCTAACTCACATTCATACATACACATACTAGGGACAAATTAGACAGGATCCAATTCACCTACCAGCATGTCTTTGGAGTATGGGAAGAAACCGGAGCACCCGGAGGAAACCCACGCAGGCACAGGGAGAACATGCAAACTCCAGGCAGGTGGTGCCGTGGTTGGGATTCTAACCAACAACCCTAAAAAGGCCAGGCGGAAGTGCTAACCATTTAGCCACTGTGCTGCCCATGATCTGTTGTTGCTGCTGGAGGTCTGTTATTGCTGGGGTGGTATTTTGTTGCAGGTGGTGCTGTGGTTGGGATTCAAACCAACGACCCTAGTACTGCCAGGTAGGAGTGCTAACCACGTAGCCACTGTGCTGCCCCATGATCTGTTGCTGCTGGGGGGTCTATTATTGCTGGGGTGGTCCATTGTTGCTGAGAAAATCTATAATTGGTTGGGGGGGGGGGAGGGGGGTGTTACTAGGGCCAAATTAGACAGGAGCCAATTAACCTACCAGCATGTCTTTGGAGTGTGGGAGGAACCGGAGCACCCGAAGGAAACCCACGCAGGCACAGGGAGAAAACATGCAAACTCCAGGCAGGTGGTGCCGTGGTTGGGATTCAAACCAACAACCCTAGTACTGCCAGGCAGAAGTGCTAACCATTTATCCACTGTGCTGCCAATTATTTACGGTTTTTCAGTGCATTCTGGGCATTTGGGAAGGTCTCCTGAGGTTATCTTTTAAAAACACTTTTAAACGAAAACGCACATAAACGCGGTATGCAAACGCGGCTAAACTGACGTTTTTTGACCTACGTTTTCTAGAAGTCAGTTTCCATCGTTTCAGAAGAGTTTTCCAAACGCCCGTGTACATGAGCCCTTAGAGTGAGTATGGAGTAATGGCCAATGGTTTTAGCAGTTAGTAGGTCATTAATGCGTATCAGTAGGGCAGTTTCAGTGGAAAGTTGTGGGCAGAAGCCAGACTGTAGGGATCGAAACTCTTGTGGTCAGTGAGGTAGCAACTCATGCGGTTGTGGATAAGGTGTTCAAGAAGCTTGGAGGAAAACTGGAGCATGGAGATGGGCTTTTGTTCTCATACGAAGGCAGCATTGCATGCTCACTGTTAGCTACTTCTGTCCAACTGGAAACCCATAGAGGAAGGTATTTGTGAGTGAAGGATAGCGTGTCTCCTTTAAGTCATTCAGCCATATATGTGTAATTGATAACCTGGTATTCGGGCTTATGCCGGTTATACATGGGTCGAAATTCAACTGATTTTTCATCCAAAAATCGGACCCAAGAATAATCGGCTGATTTTCGCTAGTGGGTCAATGTAGTCCCTCATTCACAGAATGCTGTGAATGAGTGACGTGGCCGGGCAGGCGGAGCCCTGCATGGCCATGTTTTTTGTTTTGTTTTTTTAAACTGAATTTAGATTGTACGCCCCTTGAGGGTTAGGGACTGATGTGAATGTACAATATATATGTAAAGTGCTGCGTAAATTGATGGCACTATACAAATACCTGAAATTATTATTATTATACAGTATTTATAAAGCGCCAATAGTTCGCTCAGCGCTGTACATTACAAAGGGGGACAGAACATGTGACAGAACAATACCAATACAATGCAAAACATGAGGGGATCGAGGGCCCTGCTCTTTGGAGCTTACAATCTAGGAAATAAATAAAGCGCTGCGTAAATTGTCCCTAGTATGTGTATGTATGAATGTGAGTTAGGGACCTTAGATTGAATCCCAACCACGGGCATATCTGACCTGGAGTTTGCATGTTCTCCTGTGCCTGCGTGGGTTTCCTCCGGGTACTCCGGTTTCCTCCCACGCTCCAAAGACATGCTGGTAGGTTAATTGGCTCCTGTCTAAATTGTCCCTAGTATGTGTATGTATGAATGTGAGTTGGGGACCTTACATTGTACACCCCTTGAGGGTTAGGGACTGATGTGAATGTACAATATATATATGTAAAGCGCTGCGTAAATTGACGGCGCTATATAAGTACCTGAAATAAATACATATTAGGAGCCATAAATGCAGAAACCCCAGTCCTATCGGTTTACAAACTTTGCCATCTGTATTTTAAAAGGACATGTCCTTTAATTCAGATCATCTAAAAACAAAAACAAAGCAAAGGGGGATATATTTTGAATTTTTAAACAAGCCATCAATGTCATTAGCAGGTTTATTACATGTTAGAGAAGTTGCTGGAAATCTCAGGACAGCTGTAAACAGCTCTGCTCAGAACAATGTCCTCCCCGGGTGTAATAGATCCCAAGGACGGCGTGTGTGCAGTTTTCAGTGTTACTCGGGATGACAGATCGTAATGGGGAAAACATTAGTGACCCTTTGTTTTATGACACTTGCTGCGGCTCCTATAAGGCCTGACACAATGGAAAAAAGAACAGTTGGATCGGTTTAATTACGTGTTATAGGAGGAGGATGAGCATGAGAAGACAGCTGGGACACTTTACAGGTGCTACGTTGTTCAACAACTGCACCAAGAGCGCCGTGAGAGATCTTCCAGCCACACCGAGGTGTCAACATATGTCTATTCGGGGCTTCTTTTTCCTCAGAGATTTAGGAACAGGAACTCCCCCCTTCTAAGTCGCTTGTGGTCTGAGCCCCCCTATGTACCTCCCAGCACTCTCTCTTGGTTCTACCACCTACCCACCTCCCAGTACTGCTGCTTTTAGAGAATACAGAGGCAAGTAGGGTCGTTGGTTCGAATCCCAACCACGGCACCACCTGCCTGGAGTTTGCATGTTCTCCCTGTGCCTGCGTGGGTTTCCTCCGAGTACTCCGATTTCCTCCCACACTCCAAAGACATGCAGACAGGTTAATTGGCACCTGTCTAAATTGTCCCTAGTATGTGTATGTATGAATGTGAGTTAGGGACCTTAGATTGTACACCCCTTGAGGGTTAGGGACTGATGTGAATGTACAATATATATGTAAAGTGCTGCGTAAATTGACGGCGCTATATAAGTACCTGAAATAAAAGTATAATTTGTGATGCTACGTAATTTGTTAATGAGAAGAAAAATACGTAAACTAGATCTCCCCCACGCAGCCAGCAGCAAACCCCCCCCCCCCCAAGCAATAATAGATTTTCTCAGCAACAATGGACCACCCCAGCAATAATAGACCCCCCACGTATCCACTGTGCTGGACAGATTAAAAACAAAAAAACTATTTCTGCGGCATCTCCATTGGAGTCCAGTGCAAGGCTTGACTAATGTGCTTTGAATATAGGAGCCAGATTTTTTTTTTTCAGGATAGCATTGGTTATCAGCGCCCAGGGCAAGGCAGCTTTTGTGCAGCAAGCTTCGCGCAATGCGATTTGCTATGTGACAATCATGGCAAAACTGCACCACGTTTTGGGTGCCACTGAAAACGATGGCACCTGAACGTGCGTTTTGTGATCACAGCAATTCTGCCGTGGACCCAAAACGCCCAAATGTAAATGGAGCCGCCCTGGTTCACACATATGCAATTCTGGAAGCGTTTTCAAACTCACAGGCTAGATATTTTGTGTTTCAATTGAAGTGGTTCACACAGCAGCGATCCACATGCATTGTGTTTTGAGTGCCATTACAAAAAGGGTCCTGTGCGAGTTTGTAGCGGTGCGTTCCAGACTCGCAAGTGATAGAATGCCATGTGGAGATAAGAGTTCACATAGGACTGCTATTGACAGGCGTGTCCGCACCCCAGCCAACGGGAGGCGCGTCCGCAACCCCAGCCAACGGGAGGCGCGTCCGCAACCCCAGCCAACGGGAGGCGCGCGTCCGCAACCCCAGCCAACGGGAGGCGCGTCCGCAACCCCACCCCAACCCCAGCCAACGGGAGGCGCGTCCGCAACCCCAGCCAACGGGAGGCGCGTCCGCAACCCCAGCCAACGGGAGGCCCCGCAAGCCAACGGGAGGCGCGCCGCAACCCCAGCCAACGGGAGGCGCGTCCGCAACCCCAGCCAACGGGAGGCGTCCGCAACCCCAGCCGGGAGGCAACCCCAGCCAACGGGAACGCGTCCGCAAGCCAACGGGAGGCGCGTCCGCAACCCCAGCCAACGGGAGGCGCGTCCGCAACCCCAGCCAACGGGAGGCGCGTCCGCAACCCCAGCCAACGGGAGGCGCGTCCGCAACCCAGCCAACGGGAGGCGCGTCCGCAACCCCAGCCAACGGGAGGCGCGTCCGCAACCCCAGCCAACGGGAGGCGCGTCCGCAACCCCAGCCAACGGGAGGCGCGTCCGCAACCCCAGCCAACGGGAGGCGCGTCCGCAACCCCAGCCAACGGGGGAGGCGCGTCCGCACCCCAGCCAGTGGGGGAGGCGTGTCTGCACCCCAGCCAGTGGGAGGCGTGTCTGGTTGTGGATGTAGGTGTGGGTTGGTTTTGCCATATCATGTTGACATCTGCAGAAATGTAAATGCTGGTGTGGTGGATAAAGGAGGTGAGAGGATAGCAGTGTTGGTGAGGACATGCAGAAATGATCCCAGGGGAGATGGAGGCTGTAAATGTGTTTGGAGATTCACAGAAACCACTATTCTGTAGTTTAAAAAACGTCAGTTTAGCCGCGTTGGCATACCGCGTTTGCCTTTAGAAGCGTTTTTTTTTAAAAGATAACCTCAGGAGACCTTCCAAAATGCCCAGAATGCACTGAAGAATAGTAAAAAATTAACTATTTCAGGCATTTTGAGAGAAATAGAGAGAGCAGAAGCAGAGAGAGCAGTATGTGTTGAGATGACCTGTCTTTTCTGGTTGTATTCACTATGGATCCCATCATGAGCATAATGCGGCGCGTTCTACCATTTGTTCCTTCGTGCAAAACCTGGAACTGACTGCGCTGGTGTACCGGGTCCACTTGAATACATGGAGAACGCTTTGCATGCATTTCTGATGATGAAAAAAGGCTCCGGACAGCATCTGGACATGGAACAGTTAAAAAACGATTCTAAAAGCAAACACTTCTAAACGTGGTTAACCGCATTTACAACCGTTTGGCGTTTGAAAATCTACTCCTGAACGCAAATTTGGTGCGTTCAAAAAACGACTGTAAACTCAACTGCCTGTAAACGATGATGTGTAGATGGACACATAGGAAAACATTAGGGGGAGTTCAGGGGCTGCTGAAAAAGACGCAGAACAGCTCCTGAACGTCCGTTTATCATCTGCAGTGTACATGAGGCCTTATGGTGACTAGTAAGAAGTCATAGTAAGTGTAGTCCGGCAGCATTATTTTGGTTAAAAATCAGAACCAATTACAGTCAGCAAACTGCACGTTTGAAGAAAAAAAAAAAAAAAAAAAAAAAAAAAAAAAAAAATCAGACTTCTTCATAAAGTCCACAATTATTAATGCTGACTTTGGCGCTACTGAAAAGTACATAAAATATCCCAAACGAATGATCGAATAAATAAGCGAGTACAGCTGCAGCCTTTACAAGGAGGGCAGAGCCGCGGTTTTTGGCAGATAGAGATCTGACTCAGGAAATGCTGAGGAGGAACAGCCAAGTGTAGCGGGAATCCAGGTACACATCACATCCCACAGGCTCTTGTTATGCCCTGCGTGTCCCACTTACTGCATACTCAAGGCCGATGCGGGTTCCTCTCCTCCCCTGCTACTACAGGCTGCAGCTGCCAGTAATTCTCCCCTCGGGTATTGAGGTAATTAAGGTAGTGACATGAAAAAGGTAACTTTAAAAATGAGTGCAGTTTGGGCGAGTCATCTCAAATCCTGCAGAAAGTCGAATTTCTGCTGAAATGATTGTTTTGGCATTTG